ATCCGTTTATCTATATATTGGACTTATAGAAGTGGTCTTCACATTGTAAGAGGTGCATAATGTTTATGAACTAGGAAACCCCTCGACAGACAGTATCATGCAAGCATTTTTAACATAAACCAAAACTAAACTATTAATAACCACATTTACGGCATGCGGCACAACGTCTCCACTCACGCCTCACTCTATCCTTTCTATATCTCCACAATAAACACATTTTCCTTCTTGTTATCTTAACTCAAATGTCTCTCGAATCCACTATAATACCGAAAGTGACTGCGCCTGAGTGTCGTCATGGCCCGAAAAGCAACACAAGCACCGAGGAAAAGCAGCCTTAAAGCAGCCATGGACGCAAAAGCAATTGTTCTCCCGCTCTTGGGCAACGAATGATGTAACTACGCCTTCCTGCTTGCACCGCCGCGGGGAAGGAGGGGCAAGCAGGCAAGAAGGGGAATGGAAAGCAGGCGGCGCATATGGGGGAAGGAGAAACAAACAGAAAAGTTAACAGGAACCGAGGGGGGAAGACAAAAGGGAGAAGGAGAGCGGGTTGGGGAAAGAAGGCAGGAAACGAAGAGGGAAGAAGGATCAGAAAAGTGTAGTGAAGAAAGGAGCTAGAGTAAGAGTAACAACAGAGAAACACAATGAAAAAAACAACAGAAACTTAAACAATAGAGAATCCCTCACGCCCTCGCGCATTACCTGCCTCTTGCCCAATCATCTGACCTTCTGATCCCTCTTACTCTGAGGATGCTCAGGCAAGGGGAGAGGGAGAGGGAGGGGGGAGAGGGAGGGAAGGAGAGAGGGAGGGAAGGAGAGAGGGAGGGAAGGAGAGAGGGAGGAAGAGAGAGTGAGAGTGAGAGTGAGAGTGAGAGTGAGAGTGAGAGTGAGAGTGAGAGTGGGAGTGAGAGTGTGTGTGTGTGTGTGTGTGTGTGTGTGTGTGTGTGTGTGTGTGTGTGTGTGTGAGTAGAGAGAGAGAGAGAGAGAGAGAGAGAGAGAGAGAGAGAGAGAGAGAGAGAGAGAGAGAGAGAGAGAGAGAGAGAAGGAGAGAGGGAAGGAGAGAGGGAAGGAGAGAGGGAAGGAGAGAGGGAGGGAAAGAGGGAGGGAAAGAGGGAGGGAAAGAGAGAGTGAGAGAGTAAGAGTGAGTGAGAGTGAGAGAGAGCAAGAGAGTGAAAGAGTGAGAGGGTGAGAGTGAGAGAGTGAGTGAGAGGGTTAGAGGGTGAAAGGTGAAAGGATGAGGGGGTGAAAGGACGAGAGATTTGAAAGACTTGAGCGGGTGAGTGAGTGAATAAGTGAGTGTGTGAGAGGATGAGCGAGGTCGTCCGCGTAATCGCATGCGTTGTTGCATGTGTTTAACTGAAGCCCTAATAGGCACTCGTAGGCAAAAGGTTCCCTTAGATCTCGGTGCTAAAGAGCTCGCCTCGTGGCAGAGCCGCGGCGCGTGACCGCACCCACAGTCCCGCCAGCGACACGCGGATCAAGTCACGTCAGCAAGCAGGAGAAGTCCGATATGCGAAGCTGAGTCTCGCCCGGGCTATGCCCATGAGGGGAGCCCGGCCTGTGTCGACTAATGCCGACTCGCTAACGTGTGTCAGCTGGTGCTGAGTCGGCTGAGCTTAGTCCATACCCACCGTGGTGCCCAGCCACAGCAGTAACCTCCAGGCGACAATTGCAACTTCTCGCTCCTGGGCGGGGAGCGAACCGCCGACCCCTCGGATGAGAAGCCGACACGTTACCACTGTACTAGACCGGAAGCTGTGACCCTAGGGCGAACGAGTGCGTAATAAGCGCTTCGTAACTCACTGGTGGTCGGAGGCGTTGAAGTAGCGGTGGGCGTGCTCGGGCGCGGAGTCCTCGGGCCCGTGCGGCGCAGGGTAGCTCAGCACCATCATGACGGGCGGCGACGGGTCCAGGCGCTTGCTCGTCTTCAGGAAGTGCAGCCCGTCGTTGGTGATCACGTGCGGGTAGTAATCCTGTCGGGCACAGGAGGAAATACATTGGTGGAAGACTGGTAAATCAACCGATTTGAGGCGAGGGGCGATAGTGGTGCCCAGCCCTGCCCCGAAAACACATCCTAATAGCTTCGCATTTTTAAAAATAGTATCTCCTGTGTTATATCAAGAGCTATCTATTGATCCATTCATGTAAATCCCAATGCCTCGATTTAAACAACTAATTGAGCAATTTCCTTCGTCCACTAACCACTTGCCTCACAAAAACACACTCACCCATCACAAATTAGTCTCTCATCTTCCTATCCAGCCAATAATGTAATCCGTAAACTTAAAACGCAAACGTAAACATTCCGGCCACGCTGAAGGCTTCAGCACGGTGGCGCCGGAGATACTGACCCTTGGGTACTGGTCGCCGTACTTGACCCAGTGGTTGTTCCTGTTGACGGTGTAGTTGTAGTAGCGGGAGTTCATGAGCAGCCCCGCCCACTCGCGCCACCCGACCGGCACGTGCGACCCGTTGTACTTGTTCAGGTACTTCCCGAAGTAACCTGGAATGCAGAGGAGGCTTGTCTTAAAAGAAGATACTACGGAAAATGGGACTCTTTGTGTATCTGTTCACCTATTTGTGCGCGTGTGCGTGCGTGCGTGCGTGCGTGTGCGTGCGTGCGTGTGCGTGTGCGTGTGCGTGCGTGTGCGTGTGTGCGTGTGCGCGCGCGCGCGCGTGCAATATCTAATAAATGCAAATATTAAAAAAAAAACATTTGAAATGTACACCGACTATCTATTCTCACATTTATTTCCAATTATGATGATACAATGATAAAAACACAAAATACAAAATTTCAGAAAAAAATCTAAACATAAACAGAGCCATGAAATGGAAACCACTGCCTCGCCTGCCAAGGCACCTCTGATTTCCACCCTCCTTGCGGCAGCAGATTCAAAGGCTCCACTTCCGCGTGGACATACACTCTGTCAGACGTGCTGCGAAGCCACCACTGAAGCAGGATGGAATAGCTCATAAAAGCCCGTGGTTCTCGGTCTTTTTTACCGCCTCGGTCCACGCTTTACTCTCTCCTCCCCCCTCCGCTCAAATATTAAATTAAATTATTAACTTTCATGAATGGAAAAACTGAAAGTTTTTCCATGAGCAACACGCACTTCTAGAGTCACTTGTTAACGTAAATCGAAAAAGAGAAAAGTACTTTTTTCCTTTGGACTTGCGACCCAGACACTCTTGCCCCCAGTTGGAGAGCCTCCGTCAAAGTCTCTAGCGGTTTAAAGTAAGAAATATCGCGTGCGTCAGTATCGTGTTTGGCTGCTCTTGTTCGTACATCAATCAGCATGAAGAATTGTGCACCAATTCATGGCGTCAGCCCAAGTCTACCCTCATGCCTTCGTAACAATAGGTCGTCTATCTTGGCCTCTCGTAGTGGTCAGGAAGGAAGAAACGCCTATAGTTCCTGGCGCCATTTATAAAGAATTCAACGAACAAAACAACCCACTTCAGCTTCACTGGCCCCTGACATCCCTCTGCACCGCACCAAGTGCCACTTTTGCTGACTCACCCTCACCCTAACTATTGCAGTTTTTACCCACGTTCACATTACCTAAAGTAGCCCATATAATAGAATACAGGAACAATACCAAATTACCAACACTTCCGGCTAATGCTTCCCAAATTTAAGCGCAAATGTACCTTCATGCTGACGGTACACACGCGCGGACCACAAAAGCTCCGTCTGATATTTCTACATCCTCCTCCATCATCCCTCCACCTGGTCACCGCAGCGCCGCCCTCCCCGTGACGTCACTTCGGGACGCTGATTAGCCGTGACCAGCTCGGCCCCGTCATCCATCTGCTATGTGACTGGCCCACAGAATGGTCATGAAAATTGTCATTACTGATTTCATGTCGGGTGCCATCCATTATCTGCGTGTACATCACGCACAGCACAGAGCGTACCCAAACCATTGTCTTCCCCGTCTTCAGTCTTATTGTTCCGTGAAATTCTCACTTACCTCTCACCCCCCTCCGCTTGCAACAACGCTGTGACTCATTCGTCCTCTCGGCTCCTCCCTGGACGCGACCCCGAAACACCCGCGGACGTGCCATGGCTCCTCCTACCTGCCTCCGCTCGCTTTTCGCTTGGCTTTGCCTTGTCTTTAGCCGCTCCCGCCTGCCTTTCTGCCTTGCTTATTTTCTCTTCCTCTTTCTCGCTCTCCTCAGTCCTTCCACAGCGACTCTCCTCGCTCCCAACTCATCAAATCCTCACACCCTGCAACTGTTGACTTTCACGCCTTCTCCTCTCTACTCCTCCCCCTCCAGTTCCCAAGCACGCACACAGTGAGCCTTCAACCTCCTTTAAATACGTGGCTCTCACCATCATTTTTTTTACCCGAAGCAGATTACTGTATGTACTCTTTCCTTGACATGAAATGAATATAACAGTGTTCAAACGGCAGGGGTCTTTGCGTTTCCCCGGCCTTGAGCCACTTGTCCTTTCCTTGCCATGGCTTTCTCGGCCTCGACCTTTTATTCACATCTGTCCCTGGGCCAGGCTCGAACGCATTCTGCCGCAATTTTTCTTTTGCGTCTGCCAGAACACCCTTTTTCTTTGGAAATGCCTAGTCTCAGTTCTTCCCACCCGGCCTCTTTCTGCAGCGCACCGCCCAACCCCTTAACCTTTACAGTCCGTGACCCTGTGTAAGCCTCAACCTGCAGAGTGAATGACCTGCCTGTGAACCGAGTCAGCCATGACCTGTTTGAGTGTGTTAGTCCGTGACCTGCGAAGACCCACGAACACGCCAAGCGTTGGATCACCGGCATTTTGCACCCGTGATCACTTGAGCACGTGTTCTTCACAGGGTGTGACAGCGGCGGTTCATGACCTGTACAACGCTATCCCAATCACTGTTACTTAAACTCTACTTTTATATCCTTTATATCTAAACTACCAACCATCTAGCTAATTGCTTGCTTGCTCACAGCGTCCCGTTCATTTACTGTCTCATTTAAACAGGCAAGTGTGTTCCTGCAGTTACCCGTACACACCACATACGTCCCTCCCTAATACCATTAAGTTTGAAACGAAAAAGTTACCATACTATGGTATTTCTTCTCTCACTCTGAAGCCAGTACTCAGACACGAGCATATACGTTAGCAAATATTTACTGCATTGATCCAGGGTGACAATATCCGATGCAATTTCATGTTAGCAAAAGTGTTCAATAAAGCACATGCCTAGGCTGTCGGGTCCCGTAGGCAATAACCAATACGAGGCAGCAAAATATTCACACACAATAAACTGTAACAATTCCGGTGCACAGTAGGCCATAACCCACATAAGCAACTACAGTTTATGTAGCTTCAGTAAACGAAATACGTTACTACCCATAAAAAGAAACTATGCATGTACCAGAACCAAAACAATATAGAATGTACATGATCCGTTAAAAAAAAAAGAAAACACAAGGATGATCTATTTTGCCCACTATATCATGCACGAGACAGAAGGATAAAAATATGTAGTTTTCTGAAAGTGCCAAACAAGAACATAAACTTCAAGTGGCCTTGGTCATGCAGCATCTGATCTTAACATCAGGGCCGTAAACCTCAGATTTCAGCAGGACTTCTGCAGAAACCAGGCGACTCGACACCATATATCTATTTCAAGTGTTAGTAAATATAAACAGAATCATAAATGCACATAAACACCTACCGCAGTGGATAAACATGCCCACCGAAAGTGAACATCAGCTGGGCTACGAGCGCAATATGAGCGCAAAAAATCTGATGACGCAATATAGGAATGTTGTGCTGTATATTATCCATTTCACATCTACATATACACGAAAGTTTCACCTGCTAAAGTTATAGAAGCACACCAGATGGCAATGGGACAAGAAAGAATCAACATGCACTCACTCACGGAAGCTTCTGCGCGATGAAAAGCGAAATATTCTGAACTGTGCGTTATACATGAATGCAGTTACGTGCCTAGGTGATTAACTGTACATGTTTGGTTCATTAACTCCATCGTAAACACACCGAAAATAATCCATGCCATTCATCTTAGGCAAAAATAAATAATAAAAAGAGTCACGTAACTATTATTTAGTCATGGAGGCATGAGACTACATTCAGGCAAAAAACATTGTTGAAAACAATTTAATTATCTATACAAATGACTTCCTATATGTTCCCACGAAGACACGACTTACGCATTTACATTCCGATGTTTAAATAATATCAAAAGATAAAATATAAAAGCGTAAGACGTAAAATAATTTCAGTAATTCGAGAAGAAACGATTTCCGCCAGTGACACCTTCCATAAGGACTCTTACCTCGAGTAACGCTTTGTAACAAAACATTGATCCGTTTGACATTCTGCAACATATAAAAATCAACTTCTGAAGAACATCTTCAGATTCGCAGTAACAAGCGAGAAGGAATTTAACGAAGACGGGATATTTCCTCAAAGCAGAATGTTAGATCTTGCACCTACAACGTCTGTCTCTTTTCCGTTGTCATGCAGCCACCTTCCTACACAGATGGTGGCAGAGATCTACAGTCCAGATACTGCAAGAACATGCCGTAAATCACATTAATTAAGCGCGCACTTGTGCTGTAAACAGGACGCTGACTCCTGGTGCCTTGCCAGGTTTGGGTGGATGGTCGTGAGCACAGGTAAGAAATGCTTCGAAATACAAAGGCTGCTAAAAGCGCAATGCGGCAGACGATGCCCCCGGGGCCGACAAGAGGGTTTTGGGACAAGGTTAGTCACGACAAGTATCCCGGGACAAGGGTCAGTCAGGATAAGACGCAGCAGGCGTTGTTTACAAGACCTGTGGCGCTACCGGGCGCGGCCTCAGCCCGGGCCAGGCACTTCCCTGCGGCACCCCAAGTTTGGCCTGAGAAGAGAACAGGTTTCTCGAGTGACGTCAGGGGAACAAAAGATCCAATTTATCCAAGCTGCCCCGCCGACCCAGCCACATCTTGGCCCTCTCACGCTCAGGCTGATATAACGTGGCACTGCATATAGGTGACGCGGTCCAGATTCTCTGATGAGTGCCCAGTAAGGATGGCTGGCTGGTTGGCACTCTAGGGTCACACTTGTTCAGTGGCAAAGGTGTTCAAATAAATCAGTTCCCTGCCATCACACCCATCATGCAACGCGGAGCTCGCTCGTCAGGAGACTATCCCAATGACGAGCTGGAGAACCGGCGGCGTCATGGCAGCCAGGTGCAGGGCTCAGGCGTTCTTTCTCCTCTTCCACAAAAGGTGCGATTATCAGGATCCATTAACCGCATCCGAGCTCCTCTCATACTGCACTGGCCATCCGCTGCCCGTGCTGTATATCTGCGGTATACACACGATAAATCGACGTCACCTCCACCCGGCCTAACGAGGCCACCAGCACAACCGCCAAATAAACCACCTGCTATCTTGAGCACATCTTGCAACCCGAGAACACTTGTTTTCTAAGGCTTTGGAATATGCACTAGAATATCTATAACAACTGCCGGACTACGAGATCTATAT